TTTCTGGATGCATGGTTTATGGAAAAAAAAATGCATCTCCAATGTGAACCAAAGACAATTTAACTTTTAAAAAAAATGAGTATGAGCTAGGCTACAGATGTGATAATTTTTGTTAATTTTGTAAGGTCCCTTGTCCCATGGGTCTCCGAGGGAAATTCCAGAGCTAAACTCTGCTAATTAGTAACTCTTCCTTACCTGCCCCCTCCCTGGTAAAGCCTTGAGATGTAAATTCTGTCTCCATTTGTTGATCCTTCCTTATCTGTTCCTCTGTTAGTAACTTTTCCCTTATCCACCTCCACTGGAATGCAGGTACCATGAGCTGTAAATTAAAGAGAGCCGGGTAAACATAGAAGATAACCAAATGTCTGAGTTAGGAGATACCCCCTAGCCGCCCATGAAATGCTCAGGCTCTGCTGTAATGGCCAGTGAAGGCCTAAATAAGATCCCCTTCAAAGAAGTTCGGGGTCTTGCCTGACGGCTCGACCCTGGCTAGCCAGTCTTACAATAAACCTTGCTTGCTGTTTGCAGTCTCTGGAGTCTCTTTGTCGTTAAAGGGAGATCACGATCCACATCTGTGTCCTAACAAGTTCAAACAATACTGCACTACTGTAATATCCTGTGGGTGTACATTGATTAAAAAGTGTTCCATCCATATCTCATACTCAGTAAAACTCCCCCAAATAGCAATTTGGGAAGCCAAATCTCGAATTTACCTTACAACACACAGCGTGTGTGTGTGTGTGTGTGTGTGTGTGTGTGTGTGTGTGTGTGTGTGTGTTTACGCGGATATCTAAAGTGTGTAACTGAAAGAAGTCCCCTATGCTTTAAGCAACTGATGTTTTTTCCCAAGCAAATCACTGTACTAATAGATTTCCATTACATAAGTTTTAAATTAATTTCTTGCAGTGAAATGGACAGACAATAATGAAAATAAGTGCTCTGGGGACTAAAATTTTGTTATTGAAATAAAAAAAAAAGAGCATGTTTCAATGCACTTTAACATGACAGCAATTATCCTTAGTCTATGCCTACATAATCAAAGGGAAATGGAGTGCCAGTGATGAGCTGAGTAATTTGTTTAAAGTAGCTTCTGTTGAAGAAAATACATGAGTAAAGGTAATCATTATTGATATTGAGTGCTTGCTTTGGTCATAACTTGCCTATTCGTTGGTCTATAAATTCTAATTTGAATAATGAATTTCAGCTTCTTTCAACAAAATGCAATTTCTTTTTACTTTTTCTCAGTGTATTAAAACTTGTTTACTAGAAATAGGAGGGAAAGAAAGATGGCGGCCGCATGGGAGCCTGGTGGAGAGCAGGTCTGAGACGGGGGTGGGGGTGCGATGGATACCTCATGGGACGGGGGGGGGGGGCGCTCCGGCCCGTCCTTCACGCCGGACCGAGGTCACCAGTTGCCCCCCACGAGCGGCTCTCCGGCACGGCCACGGCCCCAGAAGCACAGAGACCAATCTCTTAATTATCTGACTCTCAGTAGAAATACTTGCAGGGTTAATAAATAAAATAGCAGAAATCCAAAACCTCATTTAATTCCAAAACATCATTTAATTCTTGAACCCAGCTGTAGAAAGCAGATCATTTCACAATGCTTTTTCAGCATGGCTGAGTTTGGGGGGGGCGGGGTTAAAGTCTAAATAATAATGGTGCAACTTTTATCAAAACAATGAAGCTAGTCAAAGTAGACAGAGTGTTAACTGGAATTCATCTACTCCACAGACATTGGGGGGGGGTTGGGAGGGGTTATTGGGGTTCTTCGCGGTGAAAAATAAGTATTGCTAAAGGGAATTGTGATTGATATTTGCATGACTGAGACCTAAACTTGAAAGCTTTGTAATTTTTCCCACGGTGATTCAATAAATAAATAAATTAATTAATTAATAAAAAAAAAGAAATAGGAATTGGTGCATATATTCTGTGACAGAACAGAAAGTAGTTTGGATAATAAACATTACAAACCAGATTTACTACTTATATGGCAATTTTGCAAGACCTCCGAGCTACATGGGCATCTTCATATGACAGAGTAAAATGATCTAGGTTTTACTAGAAGGCACTAGTTCAGTCCAGGGATCTGAAGGACCATCTAGTAAGTACACATCTGGGCTGGGACAACTTAATTCACATACTGGAAACTTAACCCAGGTGATTCCTTATACGGGAACGTCCCGCTGTTTATTGATCATACAGGTTTCTCAGTGGCACTTAGTAGAAATGATATTTCTGTTTGTTTTGGGACCACACTCGTAGGTGTTTAGGGCTTACCTCTGGCTCTGCGCTCAGGGATCACTCCTGGCAGACTCCCCGGACTATATGGAGTACATGGGATCGAAACTGGCTAGGCCATGTGCAAAACAAGCACCCTGCCTGTTGTACTATGCCCCTGTTCCCTACTATGGTGATGCCTTGACATATAATTCATGCTGGATGTAGTAAACATGAGAAATCAATGGTTTGAATCACTATATTAGAAATCCCTGGAACATACATCTACATTTCCTTTCTTAAGGGTACCCTTTATATGTTCACCTATGTGTGCCAAAGCATTAGTAGGGTGTACTCTGGTTTGTGTGTTTCCTTAAGTTAAAAATACAGTATTAAAAATGGCATTTAAGGATTGATAATTATATTGCATATTTTTTGGTACTTTGTGGTCTGGAAAATAGAAGCATTTTTAAATAAAGTATATTTTATATGTTTTATTTTGTAAGTATATTCTTTGCCCAATGGTTAGATCATCTCTCAGTGAAGGAGTAAAATAAGCCTAGCACATGCTAATTTTTTTTCAGAAGTAAACTAACATTTGACACATCATATTCAGAATATATTTTATAATGTTAGATAGATATTGGGCTGGAGCAATAGCACAGTGGGTAGGGCGTTTGCCTTGCACGAGGCCAACACAACCAACCTGAGTTTGATTCCTCTACCCTTCTTAGAGAGCCCAGCAAGCTACTGAGAGTATCTCGCCCACACAGCAAAGCCTGGCTAGCTACCTGTGATGTTTTCGATATTCCAAACACAATAACAAGTCTCACAATGTTACTGGGCCCGCTTGAGCAAATTGATGAACAACGGGAGGACAGTGACAGTAACAGACGTAAAAATATCTCCATATGAATATATACTTCTCTAAATAACTAAGACATGACTTATTGGCCTGATTAATTCAATAAAAATATTCACAAAACAAAAAGCTCACCATGGAAAACATTATTTGATTTCACATTACTGTAAGGTAAAGGTAAAGGCCCTCCCGTTGATCGTCGATTTGCTCGAGCGGGCCCAGTAACGTCTCCATTGGAGACTTTGTTGTTACTGTGTCTGGCATCTCGAATACTCTCGGTAGCTTGCCGGGCTCTCCGAGAGGGGCGGAGGAATTGAACTCGGGTCGGCCATGTTGGCCGCTTGTAAGGCGAACGCCCTACCTCTGTGCTATCGCTCCACATTACTGTAAATAGCCTTTTAAAAATAAATACTTACTTAAATTTCATTGTGAGCTAGAGCAAATGCACAGCAAGTAGGGCGTTGGCCTTGCACATGACTGACCTGGCCAAATCAGGATTTTTTTTTTTTATTAGTGAAACACCATGAGGTACAGTTATAGACTTACAAATTTTTGTGCTTGGGTTTAAGTTATACAATGATCAAGTACTCATCCCTCCACCAGTGCCCATTTTCCACCACCATGAATCCCAGTATCCCTCCCACCCCCCTCTGCCCTATCTCACCCTGCCTCTGTGGCAGGTCATTCCCTTTTGTTCTCTCTCTCCCCTTTTGGGTTCTGTGGTTTGCAAGAGAGGCATTGGGTGGCAATCATGTTTGGTCTATAGTCTACTGCTTCTCCCATCCTGGGCCAAACCAGGTTTTGATTTCTCCTCCCACTTCGAAGAGTACCTCACCCGCATGGCAAAGCCTGGCAAGCTACCTGAGACGTATTCGATATGCCAAACACAGTAACAAGTCTCAATGTTATTGGGCCCACTGGAGAAAATTGATGAACAATGGGAGGACAGTGACAGTGAACAGTGAATTTCATTGCATTTTATTTTGTTTTACAATCTGGGGCACTCTAGAAGGTGCTCTGGTCCTGCTCCTGGCTTTGTGCTCCAGGACCACTCCTGGCTGATCTCAGGGGACTGGATATGTTGCTGGGACTGACGCGAGGTCAGCCTTTTGCAAGACAAGCACCCTACCCACTATAGAAATGTTCCATCCCTTCTTGAATTCTATGTTAAAGATCTCACATGTCATATGTAAAAGGGTCTATAGAATGTCCTATCAACAGGAAGAGTAGCTTGCCAGAGGTTTTGCGTTTCTTGAAATTTATAGTTTTGAAATGTATGGAGGTAGCAATATGTACCTTGATTTTTGTGCATTTTTTCCTTCAGATTGTTGATTTCTTTCCTTTCTTTCCTTATTAATAAGCACTACCTGCCTTGTAAACACATTATTGATTTTCCAGCAGTAGTATTTTGTCTCTCCTTTTTTAATTGCTATGTTTCTAGTATCTTTTATTTAGCCCTTCATGGAACCTGTGTGTGGGGAGGGGGGTGAGGGGGGTGTTTAGTTTATAATTCTAACTGTGTATGGCTTTAAAATTCACAGATAAAAATAATTGTTTCTACACATGAAGTTTGCAAAGTTTGCAGGTAAATCTTATGAGCAATATCTAGAAACTAAAAGTATAATTTTTTTTTCTTTTTGGGTCACACCCGGCGATGCTCAGGGGTTACTCCTGGCTCATGCACTCAGGAATCACTCCTGGCGGTGCTCGGGGGACCATATGGGATGCTGGGAATCGAACCTGTATCAGCCATCTTGGCTGCGTGCAAGGCAAATGCCCTACCGTCTGTGCTATCGCTCCAGCCCCAAAAGTATACTTTTAAGGATATTGACATACCATTTTTTAGAGCCCTTCCTTCAAATTCATTTTCATTATTTAACATCAAGTAAAAAAAAAATCCATCTATCTTTTTCTCTAGATACTTCATTGACTACCATGCTGATGATGACAGATCTTTTAACATCGATGCTAATACTGGAACCATTAAGACTGCAAAAATTCTTGACAGAGAAGAAACCCCATGGTACAACATCACCGTTGCAGCTTCAGAAATTGGTAAACTGCTTTGCATCAAGTATCATAAAGAAAGATGTGTTTGTATATGAAGATGTTCTGAGACTTTCTCAGGAGTAGGGTTCCCATGATTTTATTTTTAATGGCAGGATATAGCAGAGTGAATCAAAGACATAGATAAAAATTAGTCAGGGCCAGAACGGGTAAATAAATCTTATCTCTTTCTTTTTCATTCATCTCTATTTAGTGGAGGAAAATTGACATCACAGGACAATTTGTCTTCATTACTAAATCAAGGCATTTGTTTCACTCTATCATGTGTTTATGACTTTTATAGTCAAGAAGGTGTAAGAAGAGTAGTTCACATGTGTTAGCATCATTAAAAAAGAAATTGAAAATATATCATTGTTCTTACATACTGATATCAGTGTCACACTCAAACCCAAGCTTAAGTTAACATACATTTCCTGTTAGCTTTGAGAAATGAAATTTTAATATGTAGGTCTAAACTCTTGAGAAAAAATTATGAGATATGGGTGGGTGAGACCCATCTGAAATATTGCACTGTGAAAAACATATAATTTCTGAGCAAATGCATAGATATCAATAAATATCTCTGATTTTAAGATATATGTGTATGACTACATTCTAATGAGTTAAGAATAGCACTATGAAAATGGATTGTCATAACAATGAAGTTTTTTAATACATAGTTAAAAATAAAACCAAAGGTACCAATTACATCAATTTTATAATTACATTCACAGTTGTACATACATTTAGTAAAGATTCTAGTGTACTTATGAGAAACTATTACTGTATTAGGAATTCAAAATATTTAATTTATTAAACAACTATATGAAATTAAATTATTTTTATTTTGCTCTAAGCATAAGACATTAAAATAGTTTGAGATATGATTCACATGTTATAAAATTTATATTTTAAAATATAATGCAACATCATAATTTTCACCTTTTCTGAACTCCGATAATTACCAATAGTTCTGTTCTTATTTCCCTAGGGAAAATGAAATACCAAACTTTATAAATAAATAAACTTTATAAATAAAACATTTATCTCATAGAATTTGTTGTTTTCAAAGTTGTATATCAACAATATACTCAAATCTATTTTAGTATATTTCATTACTCCAAAAATAAACCTTCTCCAGTCCATTGATAACATGAAGTTCCTCGTTTATATGTCCCAAACAGGTTAGCCTCTCTTTCAATGTTTGTTACACATAGATATCTTATTTTTCTCAGTATAGCAAATACCATAAACTAGGTACTTTCAACAGTATACATTTAACCCTCACAGTTCTGGAGCCTGGGAAGTCTAAGATCAAAAGACCAACAGATTTGGTCTCCCATTTAGGGTCTGAGTGTTCATTTATAAGCCTCTCTTTCCCAAAGACATTTAATAGGATCAAAGTACAGAATTGTTCAGGTGTCTTATTTTGCATAACAGATTTATTCTCTTTCATAAAAACTTCATCAGGATGGAGCTAGAGTGATAGCACAGCTGGTAGGACATTTGCCTTGCACACAGCTGACCTGGGTTGGATTCCCAGCATCCCATATGGTCCCCTGAGCACTGCCAGAACTAATTCCTGAGTGCAGAGCCAGGAGTAACCCCTGTGCATCGCCCGGTGTGACCCCCCAAAAAAAAGAAAAAACAAACTTCATCATGATGACTTTATCATCTTTGATGCTGAAGATAACTCAAAGAATTGAAGTGCATGTATGACATGCACAGGGCCTGGGTTTGATCATAGCCACCACATATAGACCCAGGAGTCTAGGGACAATATATAGGTATTGACCTACTGACTCAGTAGTATTAATGAACTCCACAAACAAACAAATAAGAGCTAATTATCTCCCAAAGTTCCCACTAACTGATATAAAAGAACAGGAAAAGGGGATTAAATTTTAATATATGTATGAGAGGGTGCATGAATCCTCATTCTACAATAATAGATTTGCATATAATCATCATTTGATATAAAAGAAAAATACAATATGTGATATGTTGTCACTTGATTATTTTGCTTAGCACATGTTCCAGGAAATGTGGTATGTATCATCATTTGAATTTTTCTTCAGTGTTAAAACTTATCCATAGTATATATGTGCATATTTCATGTATCCATATATCATTGAATAAGCATTTGTGTTATTTTTACTGCTTGCCAAGTAAGAATAATAGGCATTAATTGGTAGTTTTTGTGTGAAGGTGTTTTCATTTTTCCTGGGTATATATCCAGGAGTACTTTTGATAAATTATACAGATACTCAATACTTAACATTTTACCAATTACCCATACATTTTGCTAAGTAGTACATTTATATTTCAATTGGTAATTCTTCAGGATTCTAATATTTTATGCAATTCACAATAATTTTTATTTCTTATCTCCTTTTCTTTTTAGTGGGTATGAGGTCACAGATAACTGTGATTTATTAACTTTTATGATAATCTTGTTACAACTGGAGCAATAGCACAGTGGGTAGTGCATTTGCCTTGCACACGGCTGACCCGGGTTCGATTCCTCTGTCCCTTTTGGAGAACCTGGCAAGCTACTGAGAGTATACTACCTGCATGGCAGAGCCTGGCATGCTCCCCATGGCACATTTGATATGCCAAAAATAGTAACAACAAGTCTCACAATGGAGACGTTACTGGTGCCGGTTCGAGCAAATTGATGAACAATGGGAGGGCAGTGCTACAAATCAATAAACAGATTATTCCATTTTAACCTATTCTATGTGAATCTATCATGTTTTTTGCAGAATTAATTGCAGAATCAGCTTAAGTGATTTTCATTCAGACGTTTTCAGCCTAATAGTCTCTTCAAAATAAGCGTTCATTAATTAGTTTTAAATTCTAGTTATAAAGAATCCATGAGTGAATTTGTTTGTGATCATTCTAATCAATGGTAATTTTAAAAAAATTACATAAAGTGCATATTTCTACTCACACAAAACTAGTCTAATTTGTCAGAATAGAATATTTAAGAATATTCTACTCTATCTGCCTTTATGGTCAGGTGATGTTTGATAAAGGAGTTGAGAACATAAAATAGAGTTAAGGCAGTCTTTCCAATAGCTGGTGTTGGGAGAAGTACATAACTACAAGCAAGAAATTAAAACTGTATTTATATCTCACATCTTACACCAAAGTCAACTCTGAGTGAATCAAAGGACTTGAGATCAGACCTGAATCTATAAGGTACATTGAGGAATACATAGGCAGAAAGCTCCAAAAACTAGACCTCAAAGGAGTCTTCAACAATATGTTGCCATCAACATGGGCTACAGACTTAAAACTGAACATAAGTTACTAACTCAAACTTTAAACATTTTATATTGTAAAAGAAACATGGGTTAAAACTAAACAATTGCTGAGTGGTAAAAATCATTCCCCCACAACATATCAGATAAAGGGTTGATATCTGAGATCTATCAAGTCCAAGATCAATAACAAAATCTAAAAGCCCCATCAAAAAATGGGGAGAGGAAATGATCAGAAAAATCTCTGAGGATGATCAAGAGGTGGCCAAAGGGCACATGAAAAAGAGCTTGTCATCACATTTTTGGAAATCCAAATCAAGAGACCAATTAGGTATTATTTGACATGAGTAAGAAAGCTCTCTATCAAAAACACTGGGAGCAATCTGTGTTGGCGAGGATGTGGTGGCAAAGGAACCCTCAAACACTGCTGGTGGATATGTTGTCAGTCTAAACCCTATAGAAACCATTATGGAGGCTGCTTAGTGAACTCAGGATTGAGCTCCCTTATGACCTAGCTTTCCCATTTTGGGGTATCTCTGCCCAGGACAGAAAAACATTCATTCAAAAAAGAATATACACACACCATTATTCATTGCAGAATGCTAATCTTTTAAATCAACCTAGATGATCAGATCATGAAGATGTGGAATACATATGCAATGGAATATCACCAGCTATAAGGAATGATGGAATCATTCAGTTCACAGAAACTTGGATAGAACTGGAAGATATCACGTTAGATGAAGTAAGCCAGAAGGATAAACACAGGATGATATCACTCATATGTGGTATTTAAAACAACTGGATGAGGGAATGCAATATTTTAAAGGGAGGATTCCCTAATCAGCCTTAGCCCAGGGTATAGAGAAGAGAAGGAAAAAGAAGCATGTGCTGGGGTGGAGGTTTGAAGGGAATTTGAGGACATTGGTGGAGGCAAGTTGACTAATGTGGCAGAATTGTTGTTTTAATATTTCAAGTCCAAAACTCAACTGTGGGACTGGAATAATAGTACAGCAGCTAGTGCGTTTGCCTTGCACAGTGCCAACCCAGGTTCAATCCTTGGCATCCCTTATGATCCCCTGAGTACCACCAGAAGCAGTTCCTGAGTGCAGGATTGAGTAGTAACTCCTGAATGTCGCTGGTTATGGCCCCCAAAAAATAAATAAATAAATAGAGCGCAACTATGAGTAACTTTGTAAATCAAGGTACTTTAATTTTAAAATACCAGACACAGTAACAACAAAGTCTCCAATGGAGATGTTACTGGGCCCGCTCGAGCAAATCGATGATCAACGGGAGGGCCTTTACTTTACTTACTTTTTTAATTTTAAAAAGTGTAGAAAAATAGCAATGACTCATTGAAAATCAGTTGAAAAAGGTAAAGGAATAAATAGGTTAGTATATTTAAGAAATGATGAGGACATTGGGAAGATTCAGGAAAAAATTGCGCCATTTTCCTAAGGAATAGTCTACAGTTGTAAAAGATGAACGGAGGGGCTGGAGCAATAGCACAGCGGGTAGGGCGTTTGCCTTGCACGCGGCCAACCCAGGTTCAATTCCCAGCATCCCATATGGTCCTCTGAGCACCGCCAGAAGTAACTCCTGAGTGCAGAGCCAGGAGTGACCCCTGTGCATTGCCGGGTGTGACCCAAAAAGCAAAAAAAAAAAAAAAATGAACTGAGGTACAGAAAGATAATGCATATATACCTACACTTAACTTGCATGTGGTTGACTGTGGTTTAA